CGCACTTTCACCGCTCTACTCTCCCACATCTTCTCTCCGCTCACCATCTCACCCTCAAGCACAGTCTCTTGTCACCCATCAAGCAGTCTTGGCCAGTAGCTAACTACTCCGCAATCTGATTTCAACATGGTGTCTGGCGCAGTCATCCGCAGGGGCCACCCCGTCACCTTCATCTTCGTCGCCGTCATCAGCTTCATCGTGGCAGTCATTGCCAGCACTCTGACCACCAACTACAACAATGATGGGGGTCAGACTGCGCACCTGACTGGAAGTGTGAGGTACCTCACCTTTGTTGGCTGGTTCAACTTCCTCGCTGCGATTGTCTTGGTGAGTGAAGTGCAAACATTGGGCGGCGCAGGCTGCGGCCGTACTGCCGGATGCAGTGATCGACGCCGATGCCCGAAACATCAGGTCCGGCCACTGACATCGTCTCGTTCCCTTGCGTCTTCCTGCTGTTGCACAGACTGTGCTCTTCCTCACAGGCAAGGGCGGCATCCTCACCTCGGTGGCTGGGCACGCTATCCTCGTCTTCTGGATGTTCCTTTTCCAGCTGGCCGGAGCTGGCACCATCACAGATGCCCTTGGCGGAGCGGTGGACTGCTCTAGTACGGACGGCCTCAGGTACTGCAACTCTCTCGAAGCTCTGATGGCCTTTTCATGGATCTCAACGTGAGTAGGCGCTTCGCACCCAATGACCGTTGTCTTACACGCCTTTTTGCTCGCTGCTCTGTCATCTAGGATCGCGCTCTTCTTTGCGCTGATCGTTATCGGCATTGTTGGCGCCGGTGCTATTCGTGGTGGCAGAGGTACCAAGGAAACCCTTGGTGCCTAGGCGCTGCAAGTCGGCAAATAGGAAGCCTCCTCGTGCAGTATCTTGCAGAGGATCTAGGCTTCAGGATACCCAAGCAGTCCACATGGCTCGCATTCTTCTTCGTTGTATCTCTCTCTCTTTTCTCTTCCAGTTGCGTGCCTATGTGGGTCGTTACGCCAGGCGCACTCACACCTCCTTTAGCAGGACCGCCACTAAGACGAAAATCTTGTTACAATTCGCGAACCCCTCTGTGCCTTGCCAGCCCAGAGCACCGTCTACTGTTAATGTGCATGCATGTCTTCTAGCTGCTGTCAAATCTCTTTTTGATCGGCCTACGAAAGGGACGCTGGGGCGTGGCGTTGTAGGTTGCTCCGGCGAACATGCCCAGTCTTGGAGGGACCGCCATCCTGTCTTAGCAGCGGTTCGGGATGCGAGTCAGCCTCTCGTCGTGGCAAGATTCATCTCGATTGAGTAGCCTCGACAATCACAATATTCTCCTTGAATGTGAAGAATGATGTTGGAGCCTTGCATCCCATCCTTTGAGCGTACACTAGGGAAAGGGGTCACAGCGACCAGACGTACGCAAGACCTTGCTGCTACTTGCGGCAAGGAATTAGCGATCGACTCGTCTCTGAAGATGCCAACGTCACCGTGTAGGCTTTGGTCACCGTGTAGGCTTTGGCCTCAAAGACGGCTATTGCGGATTCCACTCAGCCGAACACGCCTCACGTGTGCTTTCTGCAAGCAGGCGAGGAGGCCTCAGCTCAGTAGACGAAATTGAGGCGACGCACTGATCTCCCTTGACCTCTGCTTCGAGTGACGATCAGGATGTTGCGTTGGCGGAAGGACCGGCAAGACCGCAGTCACTGGACTTCCCGCGCCACACGAGCCCCCCTCCTGCCTTGCCACCACCAATGAATGCCGTGGGCTCTCCTTCTCGATCACTGGACGGTCTAGGGCATCGCTTGGCATAGCAAGGCACGTCATCACGCGAAGGGTGACAGCTTTAGTCACCGGAGGGGCCCAAGCGTCAGGCAAGTGCGCACGACCCCACCATTCGAGAGACGATGGATGGAGGCTTGTGCGCAATGACTGCGCTCAAATCGTAGCGGAGACACCTCCACCACCACCACGATGTGGCTCCTCGATCGCAAAGTACAGCGTCGTGAAGCTGTGTCGAGGTTCCCAGTGGTCATGCTCGACCGCTCTCGTCAGGCCTCCAAAGCAGCGCGGGCCACGTCAGATTTCGCACCACCGACCTGGCTCGAAACTGTGCGCCTTAAGTGAGAGCGTCACGACTGGCTTCAGCCTTCTTCTTTCCCCCATCGTCCCATCCCGTCCCCCTTACACACTCGCTGATATCCATCCTGCCCCGTCTCCCTTACCACCTCTTGACAGCAGCCCGGCGCTGTTCGTAGAAACCTTTCCACTCAAGTCTAGACAACATTGACGACGATCTTAGCGAGTTCTGATTAATATCGACGAGACGAAAAAAGACTTCACGTTGCCTGTAGCCCTCGACTCGTCACCCCGCGCCTATCAACATCTGAGAGTAGAATCAGCCATCTACCAGCTTCGAAGAACACGACATGTCTTGCCAACTTCCACCAGAGATTGTAGCATTCATCTTCAAGCTTGCCTTGCACGGTCCAGATGCCACCGCTTGTGCCTTGACATTGGCGCCGGTGTGCCGAGCATGCCTTCCTGATGCGTGAGTCGATGCCTCGTCCATACATCTCAAGTCTTGCGAACGATGCTGATGATGCACCCGCATGACCGCTACAGCCGTGAAGCACTGTATCATACACCCAACCTCACTCGACACAACATTGCACGCTTCTTGCAGACGATGACTGGCTCAGTCATCGGCGAACCGGCCCCCCACAAATTGGTCCGCAGATTGGTCTTTTGCACCACTACGATGCAAGCATCAGAGCGACGACTGGCAAGACGACGGTCAGAGCTTGGTAGATATGCGGGTTCTGCTTCCCTCAGGAGTGCCGCTTTATCGACCGCCGCCAATGCCGTTGCCAGCGTTCACGACAGTCATAACCATCCGAGCCTTCGACAAGTCCTCGCGACTCTCATTTGTTGCAAGCACACGCTTGAAGAGCTCATGCTTGACCTTACCTGCTCCGCTGTAGCTTGTTCCTGGACGCACTCACTCAACGATGACCTCTCCGAGTTTGAACATGAGCTGTCTTCGCTCTCCAAGCTGCGCGAACTGTCTATCCGCTCGCCCAAGGGCTGTGAGTTCAGAAGTGGAAACGTGCTCGCCATTATTGCTGACCATCACTACCCTGTCGATTGCTCGCCGTAGACATTCCACCTGGGGCGCGCCGACTGCTACGAGCCGGTCTGGGACGCAACGAGGCGCTGCACAAGCTGAACCTCTTTTGGACTCATCCCGGCCCTTTGGAAGCCAACACGCAATCGCTGCGCGAGACGCTCTCGGCGTGTCCTCATCTGGCAACCCTGCGCGTCTTGAGTGCCGAGCAGGACCCGGAGCAAGACGCCGAACATCAGTCCGCATCTCCATACCCAGACGAAGTACAGCATGGTACTTCGTCATTTGGTGATCTGCAAGATGGCCACTCGATGTGGGATCAACGCCACGCCGATCGACGAACTTCGCGTGTGATCGATTTGGCGCAAGGAGTCGCTCCTGATAGCCCAGAGGCCGAATTGAACGCTTCAGCTGTCAGTGCGGCCGTACTGAGCGACATCGATAATACGGCCCTCGATGTTCGACCATTGATGCGACGACCATCCATCAGCCCCCGCGAAAGCCAGACTTCACAAGACGCCGCATGGGCGATCGGCCGTTCTGTCAGCCAAAACTCGCTAGGTCTGACGCTGGACGGAAGCTGGGAGCTTCCCGATGCTGGTCAGACAGAGGATTCGATGCGCACCACTATTGACGAAGATATAACGGTCCAGTGGAGCGCTCCAGAAGCCACCGACCGACCGGATGAATCTCTTCCCGCCGCTTTTGTGTCCCGACAAGCACCGCATCCCGTCCTGCGAAGGCGGCGCATGTCGGTACGCTCCTGCAGGTCGACATCGTCTTCGCACGCCTCCTCGCAAGGTCCAGAGGCTTTTGGAATGGCCAAGCGAAGATCGCGAGAACCGAGCTTCTCGTCGGATCCAGTCTTTGAAGCGCATGTGAATGCTGTCGCATGCCGAGCAGCTCGTAGCATCGGTCGACAACGCAGCCTGGAAATCTCCAGCCACATCTTGCGCAGTAGACCTGTCGATGTGCGAGGGAGGTCATACGGCCTTAGCAGGAGCGACCCTTCGCTGCGCGGGAGATGCCGAGCGTGCTCCGCGAGTACTGATCACGAATGGGATGCCCTTGTCGGTACCTTGCTCCTGGAATCCGCTCCTGCTCCACCAGCGGTGCCTTGAGGGAGCCACTCAGAAGTTTCTTTTTCTCGCCGATAAGTTTTACCGCTAATACCGCTGTGTTGCTCGATGTCTCGACTAATTGCGCGTGCCTCTGGGATGGCCGCGCCTCTCAATAATTACAACCTCTCCTCTCCACCCTTTGCTGTAGCAACCTGACCTTGCTAATATCCTGGCGCTGGCGTCGCGTACTGCATGGGAACGTGATGCGCCCTTACAATGGCGCCAATAACGGCCTCGATGGCCGCTGCACTCTTTAATTTGATGCTATACAGCAACGTGATGCGTGCGCAACTTGAGCTGTCGCCGAGTGGATGATGTTCATGAACCGAGTCCGAGCGCTTGCCATCCTTGCTTTCTCTCTTGCTGCAACCTGTCCCTGGCCTCTGCGCAGGCTTCTGCAGCGACGTTACCGAATTCGCTGGGATCTTCAGCCACATACGCTTGGAATTCATCCACCCATACGCTCTCCGCATAACCTCTGAGCTGGAGATCGTGCTGGATGATAGATTTGGCTTTGCGGGGCAAGTCATCCCATGCGCGTTGAGCTGCCGATGCGAATGAAGGCACCAGGTGAAAGAGGGCGTGGTTCTGTTCGTGAGTTAGCGAAGAGGCGGCGAATTGCTGCAGGACGCTGACGAGGTAGCGAAAAGGGCTGTTGCTCTGCTCCGCCAGCGCTTCGAGGGAGTGCAATTGTCGCAGGACGGCACATTCTGTGGGATTGCAGTGCGATTCCCACCATGACATTTCACTTGTGCTTGAAGAAGCGCCTTCGGATGTCTCTGAAGGGTCAGCATGCTGAGCTTCGCATTCGCCGTGGTGTCGCCTCATTGCTGCCAGCCACTGTCGCACAGAGTCGAGTGGCAAGTTGAATGCTTGGTAGTTGCGACATAAGCGCGCATTGCTCGCCTCCTCAAGATCCAGATACACGCCTTTCGGTGCGCCAGCCCCTTCGTAAAACGCTTCCATGCGAGCCAATGCAGCGCGTTGATGACTCGCATCTTGGAAGACGAGCGTCAAGAGCGGAGTGCCGTGTCCACGCAGCGCAAATAGCTCGTTGCCTGTCTGGAGAGGAGATGAGGAGAGAGGGGAGAGAGAGGAAGAAGCGACTGCAGGCGCTTGCTGATGAGAACTTCTTGGAGTGCCCGCCTTTGTCTTGCTGGCCCCTCCACGATGACGACGAGGCGGGCCCATAGCTGCTGTGATCTCAGCTGGATGCTGGACATTGGACTCAAGACTGAAGAGAAGAAAGGATGCGAATGTGTCAAGGCGGATGGATTCAATTGCTGGATAGCGCTTTGCTGTGGGCTGATCGAGGTTAAGCTCAGGGTCGTTCTGTCAGACTGCTTTCACGTGACGCGTGCCACGGACGGCGCGGTTGCAGGGTGGAGGCGCGCATCACTCGAGACTCACAACTCACATCACTCTGACTTGACTTTTCACTCATCAAACTCACGACTGCCCAACGTCGACCATGCATGCACCTTCGACAAGAAGGGGCTTCCAAGGTGCTCGAGGCAGCATCGCTCGCATCGCTTCAACGCCAGAGCCTTATCGCTCATCGCTTATCGCATTCATGACAATTGGCTTGGACTGCGATTGCACTGCGCGCAGCTAAGACAGATCAGAGAGCTTGAATCCCGCGCCCAGCCTGCGCATATCGCGTATCCTATCGCATGAAGAAGCCTGTACGCAAAAGTGTCCGCCAGAGTCCATCTTGCCGCTCTCCGCGTCTGGATAAGGGCAGCGAATCTATCGATCGCGCAGCGTAGTTGTGGTGGCTCAGTGCAAGAGGCGGCGAGGCTGCTGGGTTTTAGACAGCGCGCTTTGGGGCGGGACTCACTTGTTGTGGGAAGGGGCATGGACAGTGGGAGGGCGAGGGAACGCAGGAAAGGGTGCGAGGGCAGAGGAAGGATGTGCAGGTGGCTGAGCATGTCGAAGGCGTGCGAGCGAGCAGGGAAGCTTGTCTTGTCAGATCAATGAAGCGCAGCGCAGCGCAGGGCGGGCTCGAGCATTGCGCAGAGACTTACCCGCTTCTACCCGTGCTTCGAACCAATTCGCATCGCCAGTCTGCGGTCAGAGATGAAGATATCGAAAGTGAGGCTCAAAGCCAAGCCACGGGCTGCCTTTGCACACTCACAGGTGGAGCTTCTTGTTCTCTGACCTGCCCATCACCTCCGCCAGTGAAGAATTGCTGAAAGAACTGAGCTGATGTTGGCAGGACGCTTGCAAGGAGGATTGCGGCGCACAGGGAGAGGGCGATCAGTCTTGGGGATGCGTGGCGCATGGCGGCGCTGTGACGATGGCTCAAAGGATGACAATCGTGAATGATGGCATAAAAGCTGCACATTGCCAGAGGGTGCGGTGCGGTGCGGTGCG